ATTTAGGCTTCAAGTAAAGTTTAAACATTTTAAAAATCCAAAGAACCTTTTGTGGAATGGAAAGATTCCATGGATGTTAAGGTTCTTCATGAACCACATATGCTTAGTTGGGGAAATTTCCAGCGATATCGTCAACTTGAATGCACAGATACTACTAGAACTGAACTGAGCTGGGCGTTGACGTCACTGAATCAATGATGACTTTAACAGGAAATTGAGTGTTTACTGTTGTCATTTTGCATTATTACACACTGTTTTTCCTATTTAATGCTGTACAGTTGCATTGACACAATCTGTATTGTTAAAAGTGCTATATAAATAAAGGTGACTTGACTTGACACAGATGCCAGTAAAGAACCTTTTTTTTTTTAAGAGTGTATCTTTAGCAACTCATAGCAGGAACATAATGGTATAAACAGAGATATCTATTGGTACAATACACATCACATGACTAAACATTTTCAAATACCTAAATTTTCACAGTCCATTCAACAATGTGAAAACTGCATTTTTAAATGTTTTCCACTTGTGAGAGAGTCTTCAAAATGCTCAGGTTTCACTGGATAAAAACATTGTGTTTCATTTTGGCCAAAATATAGATAAAAAGGTGAATTTGCAATTGTATCTGGATTAATGTACACTATAATGCAGCCTTGGATTATTCAAATGTTCTTCGCACTATAAGAAGTAGAAATGAGCATGTAAACAGAAGCAAACTAACTCGCTGACCCACAAAAGTCAAAAAAACAAGTGGCGGCGAGTCGGTCTAGCCTGTAATCCTGCTACCATGGTGAGATGCTCCTGAAACAGAATGATGGGGGTGTTGTCAAGGCAACCTGCGCAGATCCTTCAGGGTGCTCGGTGCTCACATTTCCCCGTGTTCTTTGTTTACAGAGAGATGGATTGAGAAGGAAGACAAAGCTTGGAAAATTTTTCACTACACCTGTGCATGGGATATAAATCCAGCTATGTAAGAATGTGGCTTTCACCATGGGACCAATAAGATTCAATAAGTCCTGGCATGAATTCCCAGGCCGCTCATGTAAACGCAAGCGATCATACTGTATATAACTGAATCAGTCACCTCAGATGTCTCAATACGACAAAGAAAAGCTTCGCTGAGTGACAGTGCGGCACCACTAGAGCTGAAGAACGGCTGATGTGAGCATCACGAAAATGTCACTGCTAATAATTGAGTAACTCTGTGCTATGAAATCATTTACAATGTCAGAGGAGATTGGGTTCAACGCTATGAAGCTGTTGATGTGTAAAGGTCAATTAAGAAAAACAAGACAATCAGAAAAATGACAAGGCTTCAGGGTAATTAGTCCATGTGACTTTAAAAGGGACTGGTGTGTTAATTAATTTTAAGCCTGTTGATCTTTACTGATGGTCCTGTTTTTCCCCAATTAACTTTTTGTGGCACTGGACAAAGTATAGACAGATCTGAGATTCTCAGAGCCCCACAGTTTAAGAAAACTGAAGATTACTTAAACATGGCAGAATGTATTAAACTACACTTTTTGGTGTCTGAAAATATTTGCCACATTACAATTAGCATACTATCCATCCTAAATAGTATTAAAAATGTTAATTATGTGTCCCAAATCGTAGTAGGTTGAAATGAGCATCCCAATGGTACTCTGAAGGTCTGCTATTTCCGGTAAAAATTCAAAGTTCAGATCCATATGTAGGCTGCATCTACATTAATCCGGATACATTTGAAAACGCTGTTTTCATTTCAAAACGCTCTCCGTCCACACTAGAATTTTTAAACATTTTCTAAAATGTTCTCATCCACACTAAAATGTAGGAAAACGCCAAATTCACCTTGCTGCGCATGCGTAAAACCTCCTATTAGTGAAACTGAAATTTATCCACTTTGGAGAGCGTTTACAAAAAGCGCCATCTCATTGTCGACAGAAGGCCAAAACAGAGAGAAAAAGATGCATTTTCAAATGAAAACGTATTAGTGTGGACAAGGCCTTAAAGGGATAGTTCACCAAAAAAGAAAATTGTCATTATTTACTCTCCCTGTAGTTTGTTCCAAACCTGTCTCTGGGCAGGAAGGCTATGGAAGTCAATGGCCGTGAACTGTTTGGATACCAACATTCTTCAAAATATCTTCTTTTCTGTTCAGTAAATGATGACAAAAATTCTCATTTTTGGGTGAACTATCCCTTTAACAGCTAATATTGCCCACAATCCATTGTGCTTTTGGGGAAGATTCACTTTAGGTAGGAACTACAAACACAAATAATATATTTTAAAACAATTCCAACACAGAATGTGGGAGACCTAAGGTTAAGTAAAGGGGTTTGAGGGATTTATAATCAGCATCTAACTTGATTAAAATATTCATGTTCATCTGCAACACCAATATTTGGTACACAAAAATAGATGGTGCTGATGAAGTATCAACAACCAGTGAAGCATAGATATCTAAAATAAACAAGTGTGAAAAAGTCAACCTTGATCAGGAGCACATGCCTGAGTGTGGTGTGATTCAAGCAGGTTCACCGTGGAGGAATTGCAGCACACCAGCCATAACAGTAATGAAACGCTATAGCCAGAACATCGTGATAAATCTCCTCTGATAAAACAGCATGAAGTACAAACTCTGTTTTAAGCAAAGCAGACAGCATACTTACTTTATGACATCAATTAACACAGACGGCTTTGCAAAATGTGTCAGAATCTATTCAATTAATGTGAGTACTTGCAACAGATACAACTACATTTGCATTTCCTGGACTGGCAAGGCAGAAAAAAAAACAGTACTGGCTTTTTAGGTAAAATTAGGTATTAGAAGTTGATTCTGGCAGCTATAGATGCTTAAATGTATGCAAGGAAGAAGACCAACCATAATAAACTATACAAACAGATGTTAGAAAGAAGATAAATTGCAATTATTATACAGTATATGCAAATGTGATGGTGTTGTTCTTGTGATAGTTTATATTTTCAGTGCAGAATGCTGAACGTGTCAAAATATTGCAGAACCTGAAGCAGGCAGTCATGCTGATATGGGTGGGTTTACAATAAGCATTTTTTAATAGAGTTTTTTTTTTTTTATGTTTGCATTATGAAATAGCTGAATTGGTTTTATTTGATAATTGAGAGCTATTTGAGGAAAGAGAACCCTCTACAGTTGTTTGTTTTTGAACTTTCTAGTAGATCGGACTAGTTAATTTTTATTTTACTAGTAAAATAAAATAAAATAACAAAAATAGCACAGGATGAAATTACCTGCAATATGAATGTGTTGCCAGTTCATAACCTTAAGTGCAGCAGAAATTTTTTTTTAACCTTGGCCAGATCTGTGCCTTGCCACAATTCTGTCTCTGAGCTCTTCAGGCAGTTCCTTTGACCTCATGATTCTCATTTGCTCTGACATGCACTGTGAGCTGAAAGGTCTTATATAGACAGATGTGTGGCTTTCCTAATCAAGTCCAATCAGTATAATCAAACACAGCTGGGCTCAAATGAAGGTGTAGAACCATCTAAAGGATGATCAGAAGAAATGGACAGCACCTGAGTTAAATATATGAGTGTCACAGCAAAGGGTCTGAATACTTAGGACCATGTGATATTTCAGTTTTTCTTTTTTAATAAATCTGCAAAAATGTCAACAATTCTGTGTTTTTCTGTCAATATGGGGTGCTGTGTGTACATTAATGACTACTTAAATAACTACTTGCAACAGATACAACTACATTTGCATTTCCTGGACTGGCAAGGCAGAAAAAAAACAGTACTGGCTTTTTAGGTAAAATTAGGTATTAGAAGTTGATTCTGGCAGCTATAGATGCTTAAATGTATGCAAGGAAGAAGACCAACCATAATAAACTATACAAACAGATGTTAGAAAGAAGATAAATTGCAATTATTATACAGTATATGCAAATGTGATGGTGTTGTTCTTGTGATAGTTTATATTTTCAGTGCAGAATGCTGAACGTGTCAAAATATTGCAGAACCTGAAGCAGGCAGTCATGCTGATATGGGTGGGTTTACAATAAGCATTTTTTAATAGAGTTTTTTTTTTTAATGTTTGCATTATGAAATAGCTGAATTGGTTTTATTTGATAATTGAGAGCTATTTGAGGAAAGAGAACCCTCTACAGTTGTTTGTTTTTGAACTTTCTAGTAGATCGGACTAGTTAATTTTTATTTTACTAGTAAAATAAAATAAAATAACAAAAATAGCACAGGATGAAATTACCTGCAATATGAATGTGTTGCCAGTTCATAGGAGAAACTCTCCATATTTCAGTGAATGATAAACTGCTATGCATGGTTATGAAGGTGTGAGAGAGGATGTTCTCTCAGGTGGTCCTCTGATGTTTTAGAACACAATGGTTTCCAGACGGCCCCCCTGCTGGCCATTAAAAAACCCATAAAAATGCCTCCCACTCACAATGAGTCACGGCCAAATCAATACATACTCTCCATCCCAAGCAGGCTATTTAAAGTGCAGCACAACATGAGGAAGAGAAGCCAATTAATTAGTGCTAAAGCTTCACTTCCTATAGCGGATTAAAGGGAACTGCACAGCGCATGGGAAAAAAACATACCTGAAGGGTAATATGCCATTGTGGAAAGTTGTTAAAGAACTTTAAAAACACATAAAAATTCAGGATTCGTAATGTGCTGATAAGCTAACTGTAGATCAATGAGCTTCTACTAAAGTGGAGCATGTGGTGTACTCGGACAAAAAAATAAAATAAAACAGCAAAGCTGCTCTAAAAATATCCGAGCAGTTTCTATAAATGGTGGCGAGTTTTTCTTCTGCTGACTGTATTACGAGAAGTCCGGAGGGAGAGTCCAGTCCTACGCTAACTTCTAACAGCTAGACTAGAGCGGGAAACAGAGGCATGTTCAAGGATTCAGATCAGCGACATTTTTCAATTTCACTGAGCACACAGCTTGCGTTCAGCCAATATGTTTTTTTAATGTGAGGATTCAGCACACTTGAACATCAAAATGTATTAAAATGTCGACTAGTGGACTGAATACATTGGCGTATTGTGATAAGTTTTCATACCACAAAAAAGGAAAAAAGGATGAAACTAATTATAAAATATCATTCGCATGACAAAAATGTTAGCGTATTTATTGTACGACCTTGCCTTCAACTTGGTACAGCTGAATAGTATTACACAATTTAGTAACCACAAACAAAGCAACACATTTTAGCGGGAGAAATACAGTTTCTCTGCATTTCAGACGTACGGTATCTTAAATAAATTGTTTTATCACTTTCTAACAGGAAGGTTTCAGGTCTTTTTTTAGAGTCTTGCTCTATTATTACTATTAACATAAGTAATCACATTCCTGCACAAATGTGTTTCATGACAAATGACAACAACACTACAATATGTCTCTGGAATCTGTAACAGGGCGAGACCAGTGACGCACAGCTAGCGAAATGACAGTGACCTTTCAAAACCAGACAAGGAACGCACATGCTTTTTGTGTAAAGTGTCAGAGATGGAGTCTCAGTGTGTTAGAGGGAATCTTGGTATCATTTAAAAAATGCAGATCCAGCACAAATTCCTCAAAAAGGGAAATATGGCAGAAGAACACGGTTGCTTAGCCACAGCTATGTTTATGATAGCGCATGAGTCATTCATTTGTGTTGTGATTCAAGTGATACTAATAACGCCTTCATTATCCATTATCCATTCAAATGACCGCTTTAAACATAGTCAGAGCACGTCCTGCTTACATTCGTAATAAAATGTAAACAGAAACTGCAAACGTTTACATGGTTAAAAAAATGCAGGTCGTGCATGATAATAGATACTGGCCAAGTAACAGTGAAGGTGTGTGTGTGTGTGTGTTTTGTGTGGAGTTTGGTGACATTTATTTATCTTTTCGGCCGGTCAATGTCATCAATAGCTGCGAGGAGTTTCTGTCGCGCTTTCTTGTTGATGTGGGACCCGAGGCAGACGTTGACCAGGTTAGTCAGCTGCTTCATAGAGTACTCCTGGTCAAACACAAAACAAATTCGTGATAAATCTCTACTAGAGATGCCTTACATCATTTTAATGAGGACTTAAAGCCTGCCTTGAATGACATGCTTTACACAGGGCTTTTTCTTAACATTTAAATAGGAATCAATTAGTGCTGCATGATATATAAAAAACATTGTCACAACGGTTTTGATGGTGATATTAAATTAGATTAGCTTTGAGATAGTCATTTGCAAGAACTAAAGTTTTAATACAGGGATGTTTTAAAAAGATCTCTGATTTAAATTTCAGAAACAAACATTGCCAGATTTGGTAAGTTTGATTCCTTTCTGTGAATAAGATCAAATTTGAATATGCTTTAATGAATCAATTCAAAACTATTATTATTTTTGTATTATCACTACAAACTTCTCACATAGTAAAATATATAGGGAGACACATATAGTTCGTTATTATGTATTGGTATAACAATATTTAATATTTTTGAGTTCATTTAGTCTTGATTGCAATTGATTTGATGTGTTTTTACTTGACTTTGTTTTGATTGTAGGAATTTGCCATTTCAAAGCATTTAGCAATCTATAAAACCTATTTAGCACCTTTTAACAACCTGCCTACGTTGTGTTGTCAGGTGTAACCCATCTTACCCTGTGGTTCTTGATGAACTGCTCCATGTCATTCTCAGTAAGGTAGTATGCCTTGATGTAGGTCTCTACGAACTCCTTGTCTGGAATTGGTCTGAGGTCGGTGAGCTTCTCCAGCTTCATCAGGAACTGCTGGAAGTCCAGCTGCATCAGCGCACGTCCTTCATTACTGCATTTCTTCACATTTGCATAGCTGGCAGAAAGCAGGAGAGAAGGAGAGCAGAGGTGAGTGTACGTCAAACAGATAAAGGGCATTCATTAACTGTTGACAGTTTATGCTACATTAATTGTAGAGACGGTTCCTTGCAGTAACCTCAGGTTAAGTGTATTGCTCGCGAGCACGATGGTGCTTGTAACTCTACGGGTTACATGTAACCTTATGCCCTACCACTAATCGAACCTGGAACCTAGCTAACCGCTAGGCCACCATAATGTCAATAAGAATACATCAATAAATAGAGCAACAATGCAGTGATTGACCAATCAGAATCAAGTCTTCTAATCTTATAACAAGATTTACAATAGCTGAGATCATAATTTTTGTTTCTAGGTCCCCTTCTGAATGTAAAGACGTGATAAAAATGTTAAAATATAGGGGTGCATATTTATAAAATAATAAATCGGCATAGATGCTCCACATATCTGGTTTTCAGCTTAAATAATAATTGAGACAGACCGTGGGATGTGTCATTTAAGCCAAAAGACAAATCCGCTTTTGACTGTAAAGAGACACCAAATGCTGAGGGCCATTTTTGGTCAAATTTGCCATTTGCTCAGTTTGACACCTTTTGATTTGTACAGCTTGTGGGTCTTGGTTTGCAGTCCTGAGCCCTAAGCATCCAACACAACCAAAGCATCGATTTACAGTGTAGCTGCATCCAAGGCAAACAAGCATCCACGCAGATTTCAGTGCTGTTGACACCCCTGTTTACTTTTTGGCTGACAGTGGTGTAATTACTTTCTGTGAGGGGAAAGATGTTGCTGGGCCTATTGAGTATATCCAGTCTGCCAATATATCCCTCTGTTTCCCTGCCTCCTTCCTTTCTTCTTGTCACGTTCTGCTTGATGGCCGGCAATGATTTGGAATGCAACTCGGTGCTGCACTGGCACTGGCACTTGACTACTTGAAAAAAAGAGAGGCTGAAATGGGTATCATTAGAGTTGGTGCTAGGATGAATTAGCTAAGGGGCCATTTAGAATTTTGATTTGACAGCTTTGATTTGTAATAGAAAACTTTTGTAAAGTTATAAATGTTTTATGGTCACTTTTGATCATTTTAATGTGTAAAAATGTACTAACTCCAACATTTAGAATGGTAGTATGTGTGTATGATAATCAGCTATGTTTATGATAGCGCATGAGTCATTCATTTGTGTTGTGATTCAAGTGATACTAATAACGCCTTCATTATCCATTATCCATTCAAATGACCGCTTTAAACATAGTCAGAGCACGTCCTGCTTACATTCGTAATAAAATGTAAACAGAAACTGCAAACGTTTACATGGTTAAAAAAATGCAGGTCGTGCATGATAATAGATACTGGCCAAGTAACAGTGAAGGTGTGTGTGTGTGTGTGTGTTTTGTGTGGAGTTTGGTGACATTTATTTATCTTTTCGGCCGGTCAATGTCATCAATAGCTGCGAGGAGTTTCTGTCGCGCTTTCTTGTTGATATGGGACCCGAGGCAGACGTTGACCAGGTTAGTCAGCTGCTTCATAGAGTACTCCTGGTCAAACACAAAACAAATTCGTGATAAATCTCTACTAGAGATGCCTTACATCATTTTAATGAGGACTTAAAGCCTGCCTTGAATGACATGCTTTACTAAGCAGCGTCACAGGGCTTTTTCTTAACATTTAAATAGGAATCAATTAGTGCTGCATGATATATAAAAAACATTGTCACAACGGTTTTGATGGTGATATTAAATTAGATTAGCTTTGAGATAGTCATTTGCAAGAACTAAAGTTTTAATACAGGGATGTTTTAAAAAGATCTCTGATTTAAATTTCAGAAACAAACATTGCCAGATTTGGTAAGTTTGATTCCTTTCTGTGAATAAGATCAAATTTGAATATGCTTTAATGAATCAATTCAAAACTATTATTATTTTTGTATTATCACTACAAACTTCTCACATAGTAAAATATATAGGGAGACACATATAGTTCGTTATTATGTATTGGTATAACAATATTTAATATTTTTGAGTTCATTTAGTCTTGATTGCAATTGATTTGATGTGTTTTTACTTGACTTTGTTTTGATTGTAGGAATTTGCCATTTCAAAGCATTTAGCAATCTATAAAACCTATTTAGCACCTTTTAACAACCTGCCTACATTGTGTTGTCAGGTGTAACCCATCTTACCCTGTGGTTCTTGATGAACTGCTCCATGTCATTCTCAGTAAGGTAGTATGCCTTGATGTAGGTCTCTACGAACTCCTTGTCTGGAATTGGTCTGAGGTCGGTGAGCTTCTCCAGCTTCATCAGGAACTGCTGGAAGTCCAGCTGCATCAGCGCACGTCCTTCATTACTGCATTTCTTCACATTTGCATAGCTGGCAGACAGCAGGAGAGAAGGAGAGCAGAGGTGAGTGTACGTCAAACAGATAAAGGGCATTCATTAACTGTTGACAGTTTATGCTACATTAATTGTAGAGACAGTTCCCTGCAGTAACCTCAGGTTAAGTGTATTGCTCGCGAGCACGATGGTGCTTGTAACTCTACGGGTTACATGTAACCTTATGCCCTACCACTAATCGAACCTGGAACCTAGCTAACCGCTAGGCCACCATAATGTCAATAAGAATACATCAATAAATAGAGCAACAATGCAGTGATTGACCAATCAGAATCAAGTCTTCTAATCTTATAACAAGATTTACAATAGCTGAGATCATAATTTTTGTTTCTAGGTCCCCTTCTGAATGTAAAGACGTGATAAAAATGTTAAAATATAGGGGTGCATATTTATAAAATAATAAATCGGCATAGATGCTCCACATATCTGGTTTTCAGCTTAAATAATAATTGAGACAGACCGTGGGATGTGTCATTTAAGCCAAAAGACAAATCCGCTTTTGACTGTAAAGAGACACCAAATGCTGAGGGCCATTTTTGGTCAAATTTGCCATTTGCTCAGTTTGACACCTTTTGATTTGTACAGCTTGTGGGTCTTGGTTTGCAGTCCTGAGCCCTAAGCATCCAACACAACCAAATCATCGATTTACAGTGTAGCTGCATCCAAGGCAAACAAGCATCCACGCAGATTTCAGTGCTGTTGACACCCCTGTTTACTTTTTGGCTGACAGTGGTGTAATTACTTTCTGTGAGGGGAAAGATGTTGCTCGGCCTATTGAGTATATCCAGTCTGCCAATATATCCCTCTGTTTCCCTGCCTCCTTCCTTTCTTCTTGTCACGTTCTGCTTGATGGCCGGCAATGATTTGGAATGCAACTCGGTGCTGCACTGGCACTGGCACTTGACTACTTGAAAAAAAGAGAGGCTGAAATGGGTATCATTAGAGTTGGTGCTAGGATGAATTAGCTAAGGGGCCATTTAGAATTTTGATTTGACAGCTTTGATTTGTAATAGAAAACTTTTGTAAAGTTATAAATGTTTTACGGTCACTTTTGATCATTTTAATGTGTAAAAATGTACTAACTCCAACATTTAGAATGGTAGTATGTGTGTATGATAATAATGATAAATAAATGTAAAAATAAAACGGGTAAAAAATAAAAAAATGTAAAATCAAAGATAAAATGAAGTAAAAAAAAAATGCAATAAATACACTATAAACAGGAAACTTAAAAAAACAAAAACATTTTAATGGCATCATTGCTTGCTGGTAGAGTGATGATAAACATTGTGGGAGAGAAAAAGGGTTTCGGATTCAAATACCAAAAGATCATACTTTTAACACACTATTTTAATACACCATACCACAGCGAATTCTATCATAGACTGTCATTTTAAAATTAATTTACTGATTTATTTTATAAAATAGTTGCAAAACATTAAACAAGTAAAACACATTTGTTCACAACTTACTTTTTTTTGGCATTTCATGATTATTATTAATGTTTCGGGAATTATCCCAGCATTTAATCAGCTATAGGACGACAGTAATTTTCTCAGCTTACAAAATGCTGTGGATGCTGTCTACCTGAACATGTGATGATTACAGAGAGCGTTAACTCCCTGCAATTACAATCACTGTTCAGTTTTGAGCAAAACTGCACAGGCAGAAAAAGCAGTGAAGATAGCGGATACAGACTGCTCCAGCTACACTCAGACAGCCTCTTTAACACTTCTTTCAAACAACCTGCCCTCAAAGATTGTGCTCTGCCATTTTCAAACAAGTGGCCCTTGACCTTATGATGCAGGTGTACAGCTGAATCCTGCCAGGAGGTGCTTGCCAATCTATGCTGGGCCATGCTCTTATCAACTATATATTCTGTCTTGGCAAAAAACATCCTTTTAAACAATCGCAGTCCTAGACCTAAGCTACCTCTGAAATCAGAGGATTATGACAAGCTGATCTTACTGAAACCCTAAACCTTACCCTAGTAATATCTGATGAATTAATTGACAAAATAAATCATTACCATACTGATTATCTACCTATGATTTTAAATTGTGCATGCTCACTTCCCCTGCTTATCCAGCAACAATGACCAGCTCCTGGGTAAATACTAAATAGCTTAAAGTCCTTGGGGTGTTTGAGTCTTAATGTGTGGCACTTTGTACAAATGGAGTATGCAGACTTTATAGAGGACCACACATTTGGCCAGTGGCAGCCCAGATGGGACTGAACAATACAGGAGTGATGAGTTTGTAGAAGATTCTTTAGAGTTTCTTAGATATTCTGGGAACATACGGTCATTCCACATCAGTACATCTGCGCTGTTGTTACGCACTCTATCGTGGGCTTTTTCAGTTGTTTAAAAAAAGCCTGTTCATCTCTGGACAGTGTGTGATTACTTCTTTATGCACTCCTGAGCTATAGAAATGAATAATCAATGGATTACATGGCTAGAGAAATGCAATATTCTGATACGTTTTATTCTCACATGTGACTAAATCCAGATGTCTACAGTGAAGCTTTACTATGAAGAACCTCTCTGAAGTCAAGAGGTGCCTGTAAAGTCATGTCAAATGTGCTCCCAGCAAATCTCCATTATGTTGAGGGGGTGACGAGTATAAGAGGTTCTCAACAGGTCTGTGAGCTTCAAGATTGCCAGCACACTGAAGATAACATACTGGGGTAAGGAATGAGTGATGGAAGACAGGTTGACAACCAGCTCTTTGGAGAAGACATGGATTCTAAATTGCTTGTCACACTGTGCCGTGCAAACTTCCCTGACGTTCATTTACAATAATCCGGCTCTCGACTAATGACAAGCAGATGGGTGCAAGAAGAGGAAACAAGAAGAAAAAATAAATACGAAGAAATTAAACAACATTGATGGATTTATATATTCAGCTATTTGAGAGCAACAAAGGCATTCTGCTCATGGCACAAAATCATTACTGAGATTTGATGAATCCTCACAGAACTAAAGCATGCTTAAAATATCTACAGTAGGAGCATGCCTCAGGAAAAAGGTAAAAATGGGGAAAAGCACTACACGTAAATACAATGACGAGAGTTGTTCCAAACACAAGATCGATGAGGCAGCTGAAAATCTCAGTGTTTCTTGTCTTAAATCAAATATCATCAACACGTAGCACAAGATTTCGCACACCCACGAGTCCCCAGTGATAAAGGGTTTGCATCCCTCAAAACAATCACTGCCAGCCAAGCCATAATTGAAAAAGCCAAAAGCTCTTCTTGCTCATAAAAACAATCCACAAATTTAAGCAGAGGAATAAAAAAATAGGAGAAACTAAACCTTTCATTCAGATTTGCTGTTTTAATGCATATACTGTAGCTGTGGCTTAAAAGCATCTGGCTATGAGTGCATTTGCCTTTTGTCAGATATTTGCTTTAAAAGTGAATATACTATTGAAGGAAGTTGAACAAGAAAATTGTAGAAAATATATAATTTATTAAAGAATTCTGAAAAAAAGTACCATGGTTTACACAAAAACATCAAGCAATACTATAACGGTTTTCAACACTTAAAATAAAAAGAAACATTACTTGAGCACCAACTTAGAATATTAAAATGATTTTCGGAGGATCAAGTGATACTGATGGCTACTGAAAATTCAGCTTTGCCATCCCAGGAATAAATGGCATTTTAAAATATATTAAAATTGAAAATAATTACTTAAAGTTGTAATAATATTTCACAATGACTCATGTCAAATCCACCAGTGTTCACTTGTGCTTTCTTGTATCATAAATATCACTGACTTTGTGAGAAGATTTAATCAATTTAGATCTGCCTGAGGAACTTCAAGAAGTTGTTAGTAGGAAAATAGATGGTTCTAAAAAGACTGGCAAAGCTTTTAACCTTTTACGTCGATTAAAGTAAAACGGAAAGAGCGTGGCACAACCCAAACACTTCTAAGGTCAGTCCATCTTAAAAAACCGAGCAACTGGACAAACAGGGCATTTGTAAGAAAAATTACCAAGATGCCAGATGGACTACATGGAATTCCAGAACTGTTTGAATGAAAGGGGGAAAACTGTCTAGACAACAGCAAGCATTTGACGTCTTATGCCTCTTTGGGAGATCAGCCAGAAGAAAGTCACTTTTGAGACAAGCCAACATGAAGTCAGCCTGGAATTTGCTAGAAGCCATGTGACAAAACATGAAATCTATTGGAAGAATATTTTGTGGTCTGAAGAGACTAAACTTGAGCCCTTTGGCCTGAAAGTGAGGTTCTGTGTTTGGCACACCAAATACAGCGCAATACCAAAAATACCAAGCAAGATGGTGACAACGCCATATTCTGTGGTTGCTTTTCAATAGGAGGAACTGAAACTCTGCGACAACAATTTGGCAAAGTAATATCTAATATTTAATCAAGTATTTATAATATTTGACAATATAGGCAAATCCTTGAAGAGAAGCTGAGAGGTAAATACTTTTTGTAAATGAGAACTGTAAGTGGAGAAATAAATGGCTAAAGGTAAATTTACTGGATAAATGGGTTTAAATCATTAGAGGATTTATAAAATAAACTAGAAAGCACTATAAAACCTAGTTCCATCAATACTACCAAAGTGAAGTGGTATTGCCACAGTAATGGGAGGTTCTTTGGCCATTGCTGAACTCCGTGGACCTGTATGTGATCCAACTGCTCCTGCAAGCTATTTTCTTTGTTTGGGAAAGGGCTGAGTGGTTTGTGATGGCCAGTACTCCAATAAAAACACTCTGTGGTAGGAGATTTATCTAAGAGCAGGTGGTCTTATAGACATCCACACCCATTTGGTTCAGCTTGGTAGCCCACTTACCCCTCCACTAATGTCCTGTTGGCCAGACGGATGCAGTGCTCCCATAAGACATTGGACACAGGCAGAGGAATCCGAACTATTTTCGACACATCTCCCAGTCTCTGGTTAAA